ATTTCCTATAATGAGTACACGTTTCAATAACAAACGTTCTTTAAATCTTAAATAATTTCCTATAATGAGTACACGTTTCAATAACAAACGTTCTTTAAATCTTAAATAATTTCCTATAATGAGTACACGTTTCAATAACAAACGTTCTTTAAATCTTAAATAATTTCCTATATGAGTACACGTTTCAATAACAAAACGTTCTTTAAATCTTAAATAATTTCCTATAATGAGTACACGTTTCAATAACAACGTTCTTTAAATCTTAAATAATTTCCTATAATGAGTACACGTTTCAATAACAAACGTTCTTTAAAATCTTAAATAATTTCCTATAATGAGTACACGTTTCAATAACAAACGTTCTTAAATCTTAAATAATTTCCTATAATGAGTACACGTTCAATAACAAACGTTCTTTAAATCTTAAATAATTTCCTATAATGAGTACACGTTTCAATAACAAAACGTTCTTAAATCTTAAATAATTTCCTATAATGAGTACACGTTTCAATAACAAACGTTCTGTTAAATCTTAAATAATTTCCTATAATGAGTACACGTTTCAATAACAAAACGTTCTTTAAATCTTAATAATTTCCTATAATGAGTACACGTTTCAATAACAAACGTTCTTTAAATCTTAAATAATTTCCTATAATGAGTACACGTTTCAATAACAAACGTTCTTTAAATCTTAAATAATTTCCTATAATGAGTACACGTTTCAATAACAAACGTTCTTTAAATCTTAAATAATTTCCTATAATGAGTACATTTCAATAACAAACGTTCTTTAAATCTTAAATAATTTCCTATAATGAGTACACGTTTCAATAACAAACGTTCTTTAAATCTTAAATAATTTCCTATAATGAGTACACGTTTCAATAACAAACGTTCTTAAATCTTAAATAATTTCCTATAATGAGTACACGTTTCAATAACAAACGTTCTTAAATCTTAAATAATTTCCTATAATTAGTACAATCTCACTGAATTTTGTTAATATAAAATGAGAAAAGTAAAAAAACTTCAAATAAAATAAAACTAAAATAAGTACTCTTGTTATGGAGACAGGATTCAGGAATGTATGTATGCATGCGCGTGTGTACACACAGACATACGTACATCTACATGAACACATAGTTCCGTATATACATGCATACATACATTTCTGAACCCGATCCCGATAACAAAAGAATACCCAAAAATGTTCTGGAGACATTTTAATACAGCGAGACACCTTAAGGCTGTAAAGGTAAAAATTAGTTCCTCTTGTATGTTTAAAGAAATAAAGATTTAAAATAAAACTGAATACATAAGTTACACCATGATATATAAACTACAGATGAACTGAAAAACGAAATTTAAATTCTAATTACCACACTTTAGTTTAAAATAAGTAGAGGCATTTGAAAACAAAATTTCAGGTTAACTCACAGTAGTAACGTTGTTTTAGAACAAATATACGACCTTGTGGCCATAGTATGGCCATCGATTTGAAACTGAACATCGAACTCATTCCCAAAGTTGTTCAGGAAAACATTAAAAACTAAGCGGAAATTCAAATTGCCTGTGCAGTATACAAAATTATATAAGCAGCCAAAACAGCGTTATAAAAATGTGGCTCTAGCTTTAAGTAAATGTAGCTGAGTTACCTTTGAGGATGATATCAACCGAATATTATATGTGCAGAGATATGTTAAAAATAAACATTTATAATTAAAATCTGTGTTTTATAACTGCTGCGTGGATTATACAAGTTTTATTTTAATTATTTGAGGAAACTCAGTTTACAATAATGAATACCACTATTATTTAAAATTCATAATTCAGATGCAACTAATCCAGTAGGAAATAAAATTTTAAGATGCGTTAACATTTTGAAACGTACCGAGACCTTTTTTATGAATACAAATGATCTACGGTTCATAAAATTGCACTATATTGAAATCTTAAATTTACGTTACTGTCTGTTAACGTTTTTACGATATAACTAAAACTCTCCGTTCGTACTGCCCTACAACACCGCCGATAAAAATTTTAAATATTGTACATTTTGAGAGATAACCTAAAAGCAAGTGAGAATCGTTGCAGCGGGGTAAAGATTTAAGGTTAAAAATTGTTAAGTTCTAGAATACTATTAATTGATATATAACAGTCATAAACTTTATAGATTTTTTCTTATTGCTTTGAATTGATATATATAACAAGCATTTTTCCGATTGCAAACTAAAAATAACATATTGGAAATTTAGTAAAAGGTACATTATATATATTGCTTATACGCGAGGTTCAATTGTTGGTTTCTTTTACAGGGTTCTGAATCAGAATGCACTGAAGGTTTGTTTCTTTAAACAGATGAATTAAAATTTGAACGAACAATATTCTAAATAGTTCTCTTTGGATTATTCAATATGCGTTACCATTAGAATTTGAAATACCAGTGACAAATTGCTCGAGGAAACCTATCGTTTAAATTTCAGTATGAAAAGAGAAAGTAGAATGAATCTAAGCTTTATATGCGCCTTGCAGTTTTGCTAATTTTAATAATTCTAAATCAAAATTCCTCAGTTTCGACTTCATAGATCCATCTCAGAAATAAATCAGATATTAAACCCCAAAATCCATTGAACTGAAGGATAAAAGTAGACTATCGCAAATTTCAGAACGGCTATCATAATGTCAGACATAAAGTCAGGCCACCAGTAAATTGGGTTCACAGTTTCTTGAAAGCAATGAGATTTACTTGACTTTCCGGGTCTACTAGCTGCCGACCAGTAAAGGCGCTGAGACCGGATTCAAAGTGCGGTGATCGAGCTGGCTGCATGCCCGTTTATTTGGTTTTCACCATATGCAAGAAGACACAAGACAGTTTTCTATAAAAAGTTTATAAAATGCATTCACGAAGACATTCCTGCCCTTAAGCAGATAAACCACGCGAGAGTTATCAAAATTAAACCAAACAACCAAATCAGTCTCTACCTTTTTTAGACAAAACTTCACACTGACGATTATACTTATCAGAAAAGTTAAGTTGCCCTTTATAGCCGCATCTGAATACAATTCTTAATTTTTATGAATAAGTTACTTTGTAATTAAATCGTTTTATAGATAGAAGACTTAAACACAAAATTTTGGGGCCACTTTCTAGAACTACTAAAAAATTTGTGCAAAAAATGTGTTTAAAGTTTACACAGTATTTAATACTGTCTTACAGAAGTAATTTAATATGTACCGAATCTAATACTTATTGCTGCTTATTTACATGCATATTATTTGGCTATATTTATCTGAATAATTTCTCGTGGCCACAAATCTGCAATTGCTGTTAGTTGTTCCCGAAAGAAAACAATTTAGCAGAGCTATTGGAAAATGGGCTACAGCATTCATTTTTATCCTTTTTAGTTAATAGGCATGAACTTTGAAGACTTTTCTCGATGGCAAATTGAAAATAGTAAACATACTGGAAATTTTAATAAAAGGTACGTTTTATTCTGCCCACCGTGAAACTTTCGCCATGCAGGGCGATTAGCCGCAATTACCAATAAGTTTGATGTAAGAAGACACGCATAACATCTGCGTTTTTATTTGGTGCAACTCTGATAGATTATCGATAAGCTACCTTTTGTATTTTATGAACAAGGACATAAATTAATAGCTATTGCTGTATTCCCCCCCCCCTGCATTTTGAAACAAAATGGTTAAAATTTAGAACCTTTCTTCTACAGAACAGCAAACAGTGGATTATTTTCAAAGTTAGATAAAAAAAAAAAAAAAAGTTTGTATTAAAGAAGGTGGTATGATCAGCTGAATATGGCTGACAAAACAGTAATAGACTGCAGCAATTACCTGCGTGAAGTTTATATGCGTAGCATTCTAAACACAGCTTTCGGTTAAATGGAAAGACTTAATAGCCGAAATCAAAAATTCATTTTTATGAAGCACGTCATGAACCAAATGGGTGAAATACCATTTTTATGAACTAAGTGGTTGAAATACCGATTGTTTATTAAATAAAGAGGTGTCATTTCCTTCTAAATCCAGCCCACCAGGGGCCAAACGGTAAAATCGATGAGCACTGGTAGTTCGATTCCTACAAATGGACTGACTGCATGGTTGTGTTCCCTCGAGTAACGTGTACAAGATCCAATTTCTCTTAGAAAGTATTCCACAAAGGCATCTCCTCCTCTTAAGTAAATAATCCTCAAGTGCTTTGCCATCATCGAATAAACCAAACCTTCTAAATCCAGCAGGAATGATTGGCGCAGCTTTAGTGCGAGTTTTGCTACTTTTATATATCGATGGATTGCTACTTTTATACAACAGCTTTCACGTTTGATGGGATATCGCTTAAGTACCTCAAAAAAATTTAGCAGAGACATAACTCAACTGAAAAATCACGCGCAGTTAAAAACTATTTTTCTTTGTGTGGGCAGTTTCTTTCTCGTGGCTCTTTGTAACATTAAGCAACAAACTGTAGTTTAAGCCCAAAATACGAATGTTTATCTTGCTTGCTTGTTACGAAATGCTTGCTATATTTTGTGAATGTTGTCCGTACCTAATTCTCATTGTAAAAATTAACGTTAAAATTGCTAAGTATATTAAATATAAACTGTAGATGAAGAGTTCTAAAACTTTTGTGTTCAGATATTACGTTGGTAATCGAAGATTGAAACATTCAATCAGTTATGCATATAATTGACTTTATTTTAATGTAAAATACTCATTATTTTCTGGAACAGAAAATAAAAATGTATTGCAGATGTAAATAGAAAAGGCCTGCAGGATATAAACATGCTCAAATCCTTGGGGCTTGAACCGTGCCAATTAAAATTTAAGTTGGAAGGTTTGAAAAACTTCAGGATATCTGCATTCCAAATTGACATGAATCTGAAAAATGAGGGTTCTGAAAAGCAATATTTTAGACTTATCAGCATTCTGCAAAAATGCTTTATAAAAACTGAATGGTTTGAAAAGGAAAACAAACATAACATTACCTTTTGCTGGCAAATTAGAACTTCCATGCCATCCCATTCCTTGTTGCAAATCTGAGCAGAATTTTCTTTGATATTCAGATTTCGCTTCAAAGCATCCGCATATCCTGTTGGCGAGCTATTCTGGGTAGATTCAGCTTCTAGAAAGGTACCAAGTGTTTGATTAAAACGTATATTCGGCTTTTTTGAACCTTTATTCAGTGTACTTCTTTGGGCAGATTTTATGTGGTATTTTCTGTACGAAATTTTGTTCTGAACCAAGGATTTTGCGTCTAGATAATAAAGACCAGATTTTTGTTTAGAAGTTGTTGGTGATGTTACCGACAGATGGGCTTCCATTTCTTGACCGATTTTTCGCAAAATGTTTTCGAAACGCTGATTCATAATGCGAGCTTGGAAATTTTCTTCCATACAGTACTTCAGTGGCATTGTGGTCTTGAACTCTTTCAGCAGCTGAGTAACTTGGATATAATTTTCCTCTAACCACTTTTGTACAGAATCACACTCAACAGAAGCTTGAATAGGTAACAATGCTGCCCCTCTGACCTCGGACGCTCTCTTTGAGCGATGTTTTGACATGATCTTTAAAGAGTAATCAAGTCCTTTAGCTTGCACATAGTGGTACGCCATGTCTTCATCTAAGCAAAAACTGTTTTCTGGTTTTGCGAGAATCATGGAAACGAGAGAAAACATATGAATTAATAGCTCTTGATCCCCTTCGAATTTCTCAGCACATTTTATAAGACAGGAAAATAATTTGTATTTGCGAAGCAATGTAGGCCCACTCTCCATACATCTTTCTATTTCTAGTATCACTGGGAATAAAATTTTCTTGTAAAAGAGCAAATTTTGTTGTTCATCACCAAGTCTTGGTCTGGACAGCAGACTGATTCGATTCTAGATATGGAAAGCAAAATACTTATGGAGAAAAGTACATTTCATTGCATATACAGCAGTTTAATAATTTATAATGTACCTTTTTTATTTTTGATCGAAATTAAGCATAGAAATGTTTTACATTGACCTTTGGGAATGGACGAGGGGAGTAAAGAGTGAATTAACTAAATAACGAATAAACCTTTAGGTTTTAAAATATAATCGACAGCTCTACTATAACTTACCAACGTTATCATAAAACAAATTCTTAGAATGAACTAAAGAGTTACACTTATGAAGAGTTCACTCAGTTTAACGAGATTTTAAATTTTTGGGTGAAACAAACAAAACTAACATGCGAAAGCCCCCAAAATTCCATCATTAAACTTCGAGTTTACGTCCTCGGAAACAAAAGGGTATGCTTTAATTTAACCAATTCTACAAATATTTACAATATAGGAAATTCAGAAGATATTAATTGTTTGACTAAATAAGGGCATGAAACATTTAGACTGCATGAGCCAAAGCTTTAAAACTCGAAAGCTTAGTTATTAATGATGAAATTTCAATTCGTAACTGAATTAAAGTCCGGATTTTGTGACAAAACTGAGTTGGAAGTACAATACAGACTTCGTAAAGATATGAATCAACCAACAGAAGCTTAACCTTTCATTCGACGCAGTTTCTTTTACAAATAGAAAAGTATTTCATAGATACATAGAGCCGACAGAAGAATTAAACGAAATTTCAAAGGTATTTTTATTATGATTTTCTACAATACAGTTCAAAAAAAGACTTTATTTGAAAGAAATTCTTAAAAAGTTGACAAGTAGTATATTAAGAATATGGGCTTCCTCAATTTTTTTTTTTAAATTTTAGAATGAACTACTTTTACCGAGTAAGTTTTCTTAAGAAAACGAATATGAAGATTGAACTTTTAGGAAAAACATAATGGGGAAAATTATAACCAACTTATTTTACATCCTATTACAAATTAAGGGAAATAATAGTTTAAGGAAAACTACTTGTGTAGGTCTATAAGAAGTTTCCTCAAAGTTATCAATTTTTTCGAAAGCCATTTAAAAAAAAAAAAAGAATATATAAAAATATAATTTAATACAAAAGGGAAAAAATCTAAAAGGTTTCAGATTTTAAATTACGTCCAAAGGGGCGTTTTTTTAACGTTTTGTGTGTTACCTTCATTTATTAAATATCATGTTCTTTATAAACATAAACCATAAAATTCAGTTCAATAGCAATGTCGTAAAATAATTTTAAAATGAGCATATCTTTAGAATTTCCGATACACAGTTCCGCGCGCTACAATACAAAGCCACTTTGGACTAATTATCATTAAAATTTGAATTACGGATGCTTTTGAACTTATTGTATAGGAAATAACTCAGTTACGAGTAAAAATAGCAGAATTAGCTAATTTCCAAATTAAAAGATAATGCAATAAATTAGGTTAAACAAAACTTCTTTATTTAGTTAAAGGTATGGAAGCTTGAAAATCATTCTTATGTATGTGGAAAGTATCAGATTAGTATTTATTTACTTTTACATTGGTTATATATATTACCTTGACATATGAATCTCTTGATTTCTTATGCAATCTTCCAAGCATCATATCGGTAATTGCAGTTTGCCTGTTCACGATGGACATGCATAAAGCTGTAGCACCTCTCTACAGAGGAAGAAGCATTGTAAAAATTTTCATCCAAAAAGAAAGGTTTAAAAATACATGAAAATAGCCGTATATATTTCATCAGCTTTAATAAGTTTAACTGTTTAATAAAATTGACAATTTCTGAAAATTCTGAAACAACTGAACTTCAACTGAAACAAACTGGCTTTTAAATTCTTACGATAGCCGAAAAATATGCAGTTAAAATACACAGCCATTATTATTAAGTTTGTAAAATAAGTGAATACTGTACTGTAATAAAATTAAAAAACAAAAGTATCAGCTTACGTTTCCTTTGTCAGCGTTCCAGTTATGTTCCATAGTTTTACATATATTTTCTTATTCTATTTTACGTCCATCCCACTGTATATTACAGAAGTTCACCAGTTGTTCAAATTTCACCTTTTTGTTTAAATTCGAAAAATGGGAAATCGCTATGAAGATAAAACAAGTAGCTACTTCAAATTTTCTATTAATAATCACCCATTAGTACTATGCAGTCACAGTGATATCTCACGATTTTGCAAAAGCCTTTAAACAATTCTTCTTACGTATGCTGTTTATCCATTTCCAGTCTCCGAAATCCGTGGCCTTTTGACAATAAAATGTATGAGCCTAAGTGCTTTATATATTTTTTTATAAATATCACTTTACATCGTAGTCAAAGAATCTTCTCGCACGGAAGATGGCGATTCCTTACAGCACAAATACCTTAACATTTCAAGCTCTTTCAACCGCAAGGTAACTGCAGTGATAAAAAAGCTTCTTTTAATCAATTTATAAGAAACGTTCAATGCAGATCATTTCACTTCCAAGTTAATTCGCTGTAACGTTAAACTAATGTGAAGCAAATCTCGACTCGAATTATTTTTTCCCCTAACAAATTCATTTTTGCTTTCTTCATTACTTTTTCTTAAAAAACTATATTGATCAATAAAAAGAATTCAAAATAAAGAATAAAAAATTATAAAATAAAATATAAGTAAGATAAAGCCGCTGGAAGAGTTCAAAATTTTCTCTCTATATCCCTTAAGGTTCGAATAGATGAGGGTATTTGAGGATGGCAAATCATACAAGGGTTATCTGCCTAAGGAAAGAAGTGCCTTCGTGGAGAATTTTTACTTAACAAAAACCGACTCGTATACACAGTACACAAGGCAAAAAACCATGGAAATCAACAACTCGGCCAAATCGTTCACCTGAATTCGAACCTATGTCGAATTGCCAGTATTCAACTGTCTTAATCCCTCAGCCATTGGTGGGGTACTTCCTGTTGACAGAAGAACAGGGAAGACATGAATATATAAAATAAAAATAAACAGTATGTATGTAGTGTTTTATAAATGTTAATTTTAGGCGTTTGTAACTTTGATATTAACAGAGTTTTGTTTCAAAGTTTGCATGAAATTGGAATAATTGTTCTGTCACTTTCTCTTTCAAATCCTCTTAACTAGGGTTTGAGAAAATCTGGCATTTTAAGAGTAAGCTATCTGAGTTCGGATCGAGTTGAGTTCTAGCATGAAAATTTTAAGGAACTTTTCTTCCAAAACTTTAGAAATTTTATATTGTTACTCTTTAATATAAAAAATTAAATTATGAAGAAAAATAACTATTTAATATAGTTTGATAACAATTATTCAGTTTAGGCTTCCTAAATAAATGTTTATTCATACATTGTTTATTTTAATGTTCGTAAATATTTTTATTTTCACAGCTGATGATGTAACTTGAATTGTTGATAAAGCATGATATATTTTCCCCAGATTTTGAATTTATTTTTAGTACTTATAAATAACAAAATATAGTAAAACTGAGAAAGGATGAGGCATTTTCGAGTTTTCTAAAACTGACTTTATTTTTTCCTCATTGTCATATGGCTTACATTTTCTTCGAATTCATGTTAGAATTCTATCTGATGCTCATTAAATTGCATAATTCTTTAGGATCATAGCCTATTCAGTAAGTTCCTCTAAAATCTGCAATTCGTTTCACTATAGATAAATACTTGAAATAAGTCCATACTCTTTTCAGGACTTTTCATTTCAAAGTTCATTTTTATAAACTTATATTTTATTTAGTAACTTTTGATTAAACTATTTAAAATAACTTCTTATTATTTTCCAAATTAAAATAGATGTACAAGGAATTCTAAACGTCTCTTTAGAGTACAGAATTTGTCTTCTTATCACTTTTCTGGCCACGAAGCGAAGTATTCTGAAAATCACAGCTCTGTAAAATTTAGTATGAGTAACTAAAATTACGTAAAAAGAAACCAGGACATGGATTTGTATAATATCGAATCGAGTATCTGTTTCCAGTAATTGATAAAAGACATAACTAATACTAAACGAATCTTCGGATCTAAAAATCTGTAGATTTAATTACCAATGTTTAAACGATGTTTTGTTTAAACGATTTAAACGATGTTTTAACACAATTTCTCGTACACATTAAGCTAATTATACTAAATACGCTGGCAGAAAATGTTGAAAAATATACCGCAAACAATGATCATGAAAATTATATTCATTTCCCTCAACATGTTTTTTTCTGTGTATGACCAACCTTTTCTTCCAGGAGTATGTCTGATCCAGCAGCAATCAGTTCTCGAACGATTTCTTGCTGGCCTCTCATGACTGCTAGCATGAGAGCCGTCATACCATCGTTGGTTTGTTTATCCACTTGTTGCCCTGGTAAATTCAGAAATATCTTCGTATATTCCAGGTAACCTCGTTCTGCTGCTATGGTAAGAAGTGTAAAACCATTCTGAAATGAAATTAAGAATTTAATTAAGGAAAGTGAAATATACCGTGAATTCATAAAATAACAAATAGCAAACTCCTAATATATTGAACATTGGCTTATTCAAACTTGTAACTAAAGGGATTGAGTTGTCAATGTAATTTTCAAGCAATCCATACTGCTGATTTTCAAGAAATGAAGTCCTAAAGATCTTCAAGAAATGAAATCCGTAACATTACTACTTAAGCATTCCTAATCTTAAACTAGTTCTAATTTCTGATGTGAAGTACAAGCAAATGTATGCTTCTAACACTATACTCTTTGGAAAATTAGATTTAATGATTATAATCTAAATTTGAATAGTAGAATAATTGAAAAAATCATGAATAGTTAGAAAATAGAAAAAATATTACATTAAAATAGAAAGAATAATTTAAAATTTGTAATTTCAAATTTTAGGAAAAACATTACTGAACTGACTGAAAACTAAACAAAATTGTGTCAAAGCTCACATGATCCGCATGATTGATATCTAAATTGCCAGTTTTCTCCAGATGTCCTTTCAGTATGGAAAATGCTCTGTCATCATTTTTAGAGACAGCAGTCATCAGTGCATTTCTTCCATCCTGCAAAGGGATAGTTTTTAATTTTGACTCTGAATTCAAAATTATCAAAAATGTATTATAGAACTTAAATGATGTTGTTTGAAGAAAGAGAAATAGTTTTCTTAAAATTTCAGCAATCTTTATAATGCAACTGCAAATTGGAAAATTGTTCACACATCTTAGAAATTTGTGAACACCTTCATTGAGCAAAATATTGAATTTTTTATTAAAATTACTATCAGATGTAAAGATATAGAACGTAAAGAATGTAAAATGTTAAAATTTTGTGAAATTAGCTATAATTTAGTATTAAATAATTCGGTAATAAAACAAAATTGATTTTCAGTTTTTATCATTGGCATATTATGTAGCTAAGGTTCATTTATGTTACTGTCTAACTGGCGACATATTTTAACCACATAAATCCCTTTTTAAATTTTATCTGTATCGAAAATTTAAAATCAAAAGGGGAAGAATTCTTCGTCTATGCTGTATATGATGTGGACATGAAAGTGATAAAAAATTTAATGAATTATGTAGTTAGTTCACAATGACTCAGTTAATGGTTTGTTTATAAAGTCAATGAGTGAATATTGGTACAAGAAACATGAAAATGACAACCACTTTGCCGGTATTCAAAATATAGTTCTCTGGATTGCAAGCCGAATGTGCTTCGAATCTCTCGAGGGCGCGCGATAAGGACGAGAGAGCTCTTTAATCCCCCCCCACACACACACACACACTTAAAGAGGACTGGGAAGAAGGAGACCAGTCGCAAGTCCAAATGGTGATGGATAATTACCGTTCACTACATTTTAGTTTGGGCGCCATTTGTAACGTCATTTTAGAATTTCTTGAAACCGGAAACATGAAGAATCAGTAATGCTCTCGCTGGGATTCGAATTCCGCTGCTCCTGATTGCTAGCCGATGTGCTTCCATTTACACCCCCAAAGAGACAGGGATACAAGGAGAACATTTCCTACACCTTCTTCCAATGTCATAATAATGCTAAATAGCGTAATCAGAACTTCTTCGCTAGGCGATGATAAAACGCTAAAATGATTTTCACGTTAGATATATATGGTCACTGAAAAGTGGCGCCTATAATAGTAATCAAATAAAGTTTGCTGGTTAAATGCACAAACTATAAGACATACAACATTTATTACTTATACTTATTTAACTTGCATCGTACATATGCAGTATATTACCATGCTTTTACAATATATTCTCGAAATAAAAGTTGCGTTTAATAATAAATATCCGAGCATTTTTTACTATGTTTGACACCACCATATAAAGCTGTGATAAACTGACATTGTTAAATGCTCTTATAAATTTAATTGTTGCCTTCAGTTTAGGTAGATTATTTCTATAGACCTTTTCTTTAAGTACCCCCTATAGAAAAAAACTTAGCGAGCACCAATTCTGATGAAAATGGTGGCCACAATCCTTTTAAAATGATATGGTTGCTGAAAACCCCGCGCAAGACTGCATAATTTCGTTCAATTATATGGCAAATATCACCGTCTTGCTGGAATTAGAACTTAAGTTTATCGATTTCAAGATGCACAATAAATTGTGCAATGATGTTTTGGTACACTAAAACTATTCACTGTAGCTTCAAAGAAAGCAGAGCCGTTATTCGACTACATGATGCACTCCACACTCTAATTTTCTAATAGTAATAGTCTCTAATTTTTAATAGTACAAGAACATTTCATGTGACAGTTGTGATTTTCAAATTATCAAATCCTATTGTTTTAACTGTTTATACCTAACCACTAAGATAAAACTAATTTCCTCCCTGAAGGAAAGTTAATAAATCAATCATGCTCTTCAATTCAAATGGAGGTAACCATCGACAGTAAACAAAGCGTTTCTCTTTCTCCGTCCTTCGCACAATGACTATCATATGCATGATTGCATGACACTTGTAAGTAACTTCTTTATCGCTTTCTAAGCCATTTCGCATTAAATCGTTGATTGTGTCAATAGCTACCTGATGGTTTTGAAGACGATTTCTGCCTCGTTTTCTTAGCATAGGCCAGTTTACTCTCAGTCAATTAGAAAAGGCTGTTTTTCTGTATCTCATACTGTCTGCATCGGAATCGCACTCTCGAAAACGGAAGATTAATCTTATCTCCGAATTGTTGGGCATTGACGAATCCGGATATTTCTAATGAAATTCGTCTAAGCATGCATTTAAACGATTCGCGAAATTCTATTCAACAATGCTTTTGATTGCTTTTGAAAAAACAATATACCTCTCTCAGCCTAGCAACAGAAACAGTGCTCTAATGCAGATGTCATATGACTGCTTAACGACAGATAGCATACATGTTTTTTATTAATAATCCCACAATTTATTTAGCAATAGAAGATACAATTATTGCATTTACATTTTAGTTTATTAATAAGATGCTTATTTGATGTAAGCGACTTTTTCCCTCTTTCTCTATTTTATATCAGGCAGATAGCCTGGAGTGCTTTGCCGTAATCTGATAAACCAAACCAAACCAAACCTGTATTTTATATCCCTTTTACCTCGGAGCAGCAGAGGGCTGATTACGTTCCCGAGACGTAAAGCGGCTAACAGACACGCCATCAGATTGGAGGTAACTTCTTAACATAGGTAGCATGAGCAGACCTTCATGGTACAACTTAATGTCACACTCACAAAGCAGTACTCTACAGTGGGTAGTCTGTCTCGGCTCGGCGACACCAGTAATAGGGTTTTCTTGTCAGGGCAGATAGGTGAGAGAATTGCAGGCTGTGATAGATTTACTGAAGCCTTGGGACAGGATAAGTCCAAGCCTATGCATAAAGCTTTATAACTGGCCTATATGGCAACTTATCAATAGACTTATCATAGCATTCATACGTGATTTTATTATCAAATTTATGGCATAGAAACTTTCAAAATATTCAACTCAGCCAGAGCCAACAAAGCCAAGAATAACGTAAGTGTGAGAATAACCGACCAATCAAAAGAAATAAAAGTAACGTCATTCTCGATCATAGCAGTAGAGTGCACATCAGACTCAGTCATTTTAAGAAACAAAATTTTTGATTTACGTATTTTAGTTTTGTGTTTTATTTATTATACAAACATGGAACTGTTAAACTTTTTATTAGATTAATTGCATATTTTGAAGGAACACTAAAAACGGACTTTTCAACTACAAGACTCACGAGGAAAATAAAAGCAATGAACTTATATAGAAATCAAGTATGCTAGAATACTAACTTAAGTTTTTATCTCAAGGATTTATATGAGCAATGCTTGCGTTTATAATAACTATGGTAGCCAACTGGATGCGATGGTTACCGTAAGCGATTAGTATGCTAGTGGACTGAAACTATGCTCGGATGTTTGTAATCGTTCTGTCTACCGAAGACACAGATACGTAAAATCTGTTTGTATGAAAGTCCTCTGTGATTTGTAGAAGTGTTGTGGAATTTTGAGATGGATAGATATCACTTGCTAAAATGTTCCTCGTTGAAGAAAGAAAACCTATGCAGTCGATATTAGCGGGCTAGAGAGTTGATGCAGTTGACATGGATAGACTTTATTATTATTATTATTAACGCTTAATGTAGTCTTTTGTTCCATTTTCCACTTGTGGTGTAACTATTGTTATTGTAATGAGGTTTATTTTTGTTTTGCCTTTTTTGTATTTTCTTCATGCTCCAACCTCATGAGCATCTTTGATGCACGGGGGCCAATGATGTACAATCAAGTGCCTTTGCAGTAAAAAAAAAGTGCTGTGGCTGATAGAAGCTGAATCAACTGATACTGTCTTCTGGAGAACTAAGTCAAAACGAGGACTATACATTTCTTAAGGATTAGTGAATGGGGATTATACTCAGTTGCTACAAATTATAGTGCAGATGTCTGTCTGCTGTATACCTCCTCACGACAGTTATGATATGCAACATACAATGTGAATGCAACGATAGATTCTAATGTAAGATGAAATGTCTGCGACATAAAAATTATAAGTATCTTCTCTCTTCTTTCTGCATGCCTTCTTGGTGTAATGGTTAACACACTCGGTGCGTATTCGAGAGGTCCAGGTTCGACCCCCGGCGAGGGCAATGCACAGTTTTTACCTTTCCTGCTTTAAAACATGCTAATAAATCTACAGTGGTGCCCGAACTTAAAGGTGGTGGATGTTGATTCTTCACCACCAGGATTTGGCGATTGGATCCCTTAATCCCAAATCGCTCTTTAAAAGGGTGAGTTTATAAGGTATTTTCTTCTTCCTTCCAGCATGTCTTCGTGGTGTAAGAGTTAGCACACTCGGCGCGTATTCGACAGGCCCAGGTTTGAACGCCGGCGAGGGCATTGCTCAATTTTCATATCTCTACTTCTAAAATACTAACGACTATACAGTGGCGTCTGAACTAAAAAGAAGGTGAATGATAATTCTTCACTACCAGGATTTGGCAATTGGGTCCCGTAATCTCCAGTCTTCCTTTAAATTTTTCTCCCTCCTCTCTGCATGCCTTCGTGGTGTAATGGCTAGCACACTCGCCGCTTATTCGAGAGGTTCAGGTTCGAGTACCGGAGAGGGCAGTGCACATTTTTCAACTTTCCTGCTTTGAAATAACCTAATAAATCTATAATGGCGCCCGAACTAAAAGATGGTGGATGATGATTCTTCACCACCAGGATTTGGCGATTGTGTCTGCTAATCTCCAGGGTATTTTCTCTCTCCTTTCTGCATGCCTTCGTGGTGTAACGGTAGCATACTCAGTACGTATTCGAGAGGTCCATGTTTGGGTCCTGGCGAAAGCATTGCTCATTTTTCACTTCACCAGCATGAAAATAGCCTAATGTTTCTACAAGTTATATTTTATGCTAATAAAAAAGGCGAATTTGCCAGTTACAAGCTAGTAACATCACAACTAGCAAGTTTGTAATCAAAGTATTCATGTTAAAGGAGTTGAAAAAAAGTTAAATACTTTGTTTTTATTTTTTCTATCTTAAATAAAGAAATAATTTTCTTCTTATTTTCATTAACTTTTTTCCATAATTTATTAGAAAGCTATCGTATAATGAGATCATTCAATTTTGTTTTATTACTCTTACATTAATAACAACAATAATAATTATATCAACAAGGTTTTGGCCACATGGGTGAAAAGAAGCACATTAAGTCAATTTTTATGTGCGATTGACCAATATGAATATCAAAGTGTTTCCTCAAACTGCATTTTATAATAAATCATTAAAAATCCGTTTACACCAAAATATCTGTAGCGAAAATCAAATATGCATCTGTAACAAAAGTAATTATATACTAAAGAATAAAATGCCTCATTTTACTTGCCATGAATTATACTTTCAAATATCTCACAAATCATTCGATTATGAAGCATGGTATAGGAAAAACAAAGAAAAAGTCTCTTTAGAGATATGGTCTCCTGTTATACGAAAGTATTCTTCCCGTGGATTTCAATTTGCTTCAGAAACTACGCTATTCTTTTTCCCAGCACATGTGGAAAGTTTCATACTCATCGAAAGAATGACCACAAGATGGTTTGATTTGGTTTATGTGATTACGGCAAAGCCTCGAGGGCTATCTGTCTAAAGAAAGGGGTGTCTTCGTGGAGAGCTTTCTAAGAGAAATTTGCTCGTATACATGTTACACATGGTAAAAACCACGAAAATACCCTTGCAGCCAGCCCGTTCGTGAGATTCGAACCTCGAACCACCAGTTTTTAGCGACTTTACCTCACGGCCGCTGGTGGGTACAACTGACCAGAAGAAAGCATTTTCCAAGAGAGGAAAATAAACATTTCTTTTTTGAAAAATCTCTCATTTGCAAACACTATTCTTTTTTTCTGTTAACACACACCCTGCGACATACATATTTCGAGATAAATAAGAAAAGCGTTTCATAGCATCTACTTTTACCTCAATAATGTATTAAAAAATTTTATTCATGTATTAAAAAATTTTGTTATTTTTCTTGTTTTGTGGCCTTAGAATACGTGACTGATACTTGATATTCTGTTGAGTTAAGAAAATTACAATGTATTTTAGTCTCCGTGGTCTTTCGCTTGCCTTCGTGGTGTAAAGGTGTCTCGAATACACTCGGCGCATTTTCGAGAGGTCTAGGTTCGAGTCTCGGCGAGAGCATTGCTCATTTTTCCCTTCTCCTACTTCTGAATTGCCTAATGACTCAAGAACATAACCTCAAGAAAGCAAAGAACATAACCTCAAGAAAATCTTTTATATCAGAACAACATAATTTTAATCATGTTCCATTATCAATTTCCACCAAGATATTACTACCACCTCTGCACATCAGATTATGTCAAATGACAATTCTTAAAGCTAACTATGTTGTTCAGTGATATTTTAATACTTTCATTGTCTCCTCTAAATATTCTGACAAACGAACGAGTGCGGTAAGTTCGTATCTCCTCTCTTTCTCTCACTCAATTTTTACTTTATTTGAACTAAAATAGTGTAAAAGTGTGCTTCAGCATTATATAATATATCACCTGGCATAAAACCCAATGAATGTAAAGTTCTGAAGTTTTTAATATTTCCAAACAACTCTGAAGTGGCAGCATTTTCATCAACAGGCACCTACTTTGCGACAGGCTGTAACGTCAGCTCCTTTCTTCAGAAGTTTGTGGATGATTCTATAGTGCTCTCTTTCTACTGCAATAATAAGAGGACTGATCCCATCCTTTAAAAATAAAAGATATAAAATATAGGTTTAATTGTAACATTATAAAAACTGTAAATGTAGTTAAGGTAAGCTTGTTGAAAGCTCGTATGTGTGTGGCGTATCTGAGCACCTTTGGGTAGGGAGGTGACTGATTATATAGCTTATTACATATTATTTGCTTGACAGGACTAAAACGTGGTTTAGTGAAGTTCAATAAATTTCGAGATTAGGTGTCTTCATTTCTGCTAGAGCTGCTTATGCATATTACATATATTTTTTGATTAAAATGTAATAAAACAGTATTTCTCTTACACGTCGAAGAAATTCGCGTAACTTCATTACAATACAACATTTACCGTAAGCAAATATACGCAAATTTGCATCAATACAAATGAAATACTGCATTGGCCTCAATTTGAAAATTGTTTACAAGCAGAGAAGGTATACATTTAAAAAAGCTTCACACATGAGTGACTGTATATGCAAAAACTAGTATATAACATACATACATTGAAGTTTTCTAAGAAATAATATATTAAATTCTATAAACGTTATAACTTGATATAAAACAAAATAAATACCTTTTCTCGCGCGTATAAGCCACATAATTTTCCCTTCAATTAAAAAAATCCATATTTTTTAACCTTTACTTTGAACGCTAGCTCACAGTTTTAATTAGTCCCCCCCCCCTTTTTTTTTTTTTTTTTTTTTTGTTTTTTTTAGATTACGTCAATAATTCGCCATGCAAGCTGTATTCAGCATTCTATATATATTCCTAACACCTGGCATAAAACCAATGAATGTAAAAGTTCTGAAGGTTTTAACTATTTCCAAACACCTTCTGAAGGGCCGCATTTTCATCAAACAGGCACCTACTTTGCGACAGGTGTAACGTCAGCTTTTTTTCAAAAGTTTGTGGATGATTCTATAGTGCTCTATTTCTAATTGCCATTAAAAGAGGACTGATTCCCATCCTTAAATTTAATTTTTATAAAATATGAGTTTAATTGAACTTATAAAATTTGTCAATGTAGTTTTAGTTAAGGGTAGGCTGTTAAAGCTCGATGTGTGTGTGATATCTGAGGCTTTTGTTAGGGAGGTGACTGATTTGAGCTTATACATCTTATTGCTTGAAGTTTAAAACGTGGTTTTTTAGTGACGTTCAATAAATTTCTTAGCGATTCGGTCTTCATTTATGTAGAGTGCTTATGCTATTAATATATTTTTTGATTAAACTGTAAGAAAACAGTATTTCTTCTTACACGTCGAAGAAATTCGCCCGTAATTCCTTACAATAAACATTTGACCGTAAGCCCAAATATACGCAAATTTGTCCATACAAATGAAAATACTTATTGGCCTCAATTTTCGGTTTACACAGCAGAGAGGTACCATTACACAAGCTTCACCACATGAGTGACTGTCTATGCAAACACTAGTATATTCACCTAACTTCCCTTACGTTTTCTCAAGAAATATATATTAACTTTCTAAAGGAACAGTTTTATTTTTTTTTTTTAAGAAAATTTTTTTTTTTTTTTTTTTCTTTTTTTTTCTTTTTTCGTTATTGTTATTTTTTTTTTTTTTTTTTTTTTTTTTTTTTTTTTTTTCTTTTCTTTTATTTGTTTTTTTTACCCAACCATTTTCTTGTGGGTTTTTTTACTAATTCAAAAATTTTTATTTGTTTTTTTGTTTCGCTTTTTTTGTTTTTTTTCTCCATTTTTTTTATTTTTTTTTACTTAACACAAGAGTTTTTCTTGTTGTACAGGTGTGCAAGCTCTCTCGTGTAGTTATCCAATGTGTTGACCAATGTGCTCACTTTTTGCATTGTTTCCCCCCACCTCAACTTTTTTTTTTTTTGTTTAGTCTCTTTTTGTCTTTCAGCACCCGTTTTTTTTTTATTACTCCATGTGTGTTGTCGACAATCAAGTCGCCTTTTTACAATGCTGATTTTGTTTTTTTTTTTTATTTTTTTTTTTTTGTTTTTTTGTTTTTTTTTTTTTTTTTTGTTTATGCACTCTGATGGGGCGTGTTCATTTTTTGTTTTTTTTTTTTTTTTTTTTTTTTTTTTTTTTTTTTATTTTTTTTTGATTCTTATAGTCTGGTCTTTTTTGTTTTTTTTTGTTTTTGATTTTCTTACAACAGTTTTTCGTTTTTCATTAAACACTCCATTTTGTATTAAATTTTATATTTTTATTTATTTATTTATTTATATCTTTCATAATTATTATATAACGTTTTTAGGACTTACGCCACATAAAATTTGATTGAACAGCAAAATCACGAAGTATTTAAAAGCAGCATATCTTTTGAATTTCCAATAGGAAGTCTCGCGCGCTGGAGATAAAACTGTTGTATTCCTTACAGTGTTGCCACTGCTCGCTTTGAAATCGTTGAGTTTGTTAATCAAAGTTTCGTTAAAGTTTTATAAACTATCAAACAAAACAAATTCGAGAATCGAAATTCGGACTTCCAGGTGCCCATGTTCGGATGGAGGACTACGTTATCCAAAATTGCTTGGCTCTAGATCCCATTGATTATTCACATTACGAGAAAAACGCATCCATTCGTGCACATTTTAAATTATTTAATTTCTTTAAATACAATACAGGGCCATACTATTTGGTGAGACAATTTAAAAAGTGAAGTTTATTTGGCCTAATTTGACAGTTTGAAAAGTGATATACCGTTTATAGTGATTCAACGCAAAATGCCGTTTCGAAACCAATATCCCACTTGGAACTAACGTCCCTTTTAGGCTTAAAAAAAAAAAAAAAAAAAAAAAAAAAAAAAAAAAAAAAAAAAAAAACTCTAGAGAAATAAGCCGAGAATAGCCTAGCTACCATCTATGTAATACTTTTTTTTTTTTTTGGAGATACAAAAGCAGCTAAAAGGAAAATAGCACTCACTGGACAGTGAAACAAAATTTTTATTAACAGTCAAAAGGAGTATGTTTCTGTATTTAGCACCTCTTATTAACTAACGGCACCACTGACGTAGCTGCCTTCACTACTAGTATTACTATCATTGGTACCGGTATCCCACAGCATGTCACCACGATCTACAACCACAACTAAACTTGCACAATTTTATGTAACATTCACATAACAACAATGTATTTTATACCAATCGTTAACAGCACGTTGCTATGTTGCACAGCGAGTTGTTATGGCACGATTGTTTCAGTTGAAACAGTTCAGTTGAAGATACTGAAGTTGGTGCACCAACTGACTTAATTCAATAAATAGCATACTAACCATTTCAAATGCAAAGAAATGGCAGCCTCGTTAGACCTAGCACAACTTTTAAATTGTTTATAATTCTACTACTATTGCATGCAGGTTAACTAAAGACGTAAAATCCTTAATGGGAACAATTAAATTATTTTTAAAGCTAAAAAAATGCACAATCTACCAACATACGTAAGAATAAAAAAAACTGAACTCACCGAGCCGGGTGATATATATATAGAGAGAGAGAGTGAAGTACACAATAGATGCTATAACAATCGCATATGCGAAATTTCAGCGTTCTACGGCTACTCATTTTTCAATTATTCGAGATACATATATACGTACATACAGACGTCGCGAAAAAGTTCTCTTCTGAATCCATTTCTACTCCATTTTACAGCCCGTTTTGGAAGGAAGAGTCCTTTATTCTGTCCCTACGGCGTACAGATGTCATTCAGAAACATCGTTTAAATGGATTCGACAGCTGTCAAAATGGATATTGTCATTGAAATATGATACCCGAAATTTTTTGCGGTCACACTACTCCCCTTACTTCGCACAAGGAAGTAATAAAAGGCACAAATTAAAAAAGTAATAATAAAATAAAAGTTTACAAAACTTTTGAACTTCTGAAATATTCTCAAGCTGTGGTAGCGTCTAACATTTGATAAAAGGCTTGTAATTAATACCCTTAAAAATCCAGCTGCTATGTTACCATAGCGTGATCATTTCGCTCATTCATTACTGAACTGTTATTTCAGCAATATATTTATTCTTATCGGTTTTGCATATAAGGAAATTTTGCTTGTTGTTTTAAAATGTAGCATTTAAAATAAATTTTACTTTGTACAGATACAAAATACTGTGCATTTGATACTTAAAATTAAATTACGAAAGGACTTACGGTTGTTTGAGCATTCACATTTTCTCCAATTCTCAGTAAATCATCAACAGCTTTATCACATCCCAGGAAAACTGCTCTTGAGAGAAGGGGAAAATGTTCCTATTATAAAATGGAGTGAAATATATTTTCCAAACGATTTGCAGCTAATATACACACTAAAAACTTTTGTAACGAGTTCATAACTTAGCATTAGACACTGAGTTAAACTGGCAAACTAAATTAAATTCCGAAATAACTTTCTGAAAAAGTATAAAACAATTTTTCAGTACTTTTGTAGAGCAATTAGATACTTTTTGGAAGCAGGCAAGATGAAAAATGAGCAATCGCCTTCGCCGGGAATCGAACCACGGTCCTCTGGAATACCGGCCCAGCGTGCACAACCACTACTTCACGAAGGCACGCTAGGAAAGTGGAAGATATACCTTATACTCTCAGCTTTCATTATTAATAGGAAAACAATACGAACTCTTTTTGTGGTTAAAAAAAAACTCTGTAAATTTTGTTTGTCAGCTTTGAACTAACATAAAATTTAGCAAATGTTCTCTGTAATGATACTTAAAACTTACAGTAGGCCTATGAAGTCTTAATACCAGATTCATAAAAAACTGGGATTTGAAGAAAGCGACTTGGACACTTCTTTACTTTTCTACCCGCATCCCTTCTCATGATATAAATTTCTTGGTTTGTTAATAACTTATCGATGCCATCGTAGAACTCTCAACAGCTTGAATACCCTTATTATTTTGAAACAGCTTTTGGATTTATCAAATATTCTCAGTATGTTGTCCCTTAAGATAACATATAACTATAGCAAAAAGAATGATCAATAAGTGCCACAGCTTTCCTTGCAATAAGCCAATGACAATGTAATTGCAGTATAGGAAGAACACATAAAAGCTTATCATCCTTCTTTACGCTTTGAATTTCGAATTGTGGGGATGGATCACACAAAATCAAATAAAAAATTTGTCTTTAAACACACATCTCTTTTCCACAAATACAAAACAAAATTATTTTTCCACATAACTCTTTTCCACAAATAATAAATATCTATAAAACATAAGGTGCGAAAATTTGTTAGCAGTATTAATTGTCGTTATTAATTATTGTTGGCAGCATCTTTGGATTGGTTAAAAAAATGAATCGTAAATCCTATATACACAGAATGCAAGATTAGAATGCTTCATAAATTATCATCAAAATTAAACGTGTACTTGGCCTAAGAAACAATTAGGGAAAAACAAACTTGTAGAGTCATTAGGACTTTTTTGGAAGCAGGCAAGATGAAAAATTAGCAACGCCTTCGCCAGGAATCGAACCACGGACCTCTGAAATACCGGTCCAGCGAGCAGAACCACTACACCACGAAGGCAAGCTAGGAAAACCGAGGAGAAATACCTTATATACTCCCCCTTTTAAAGGGCGACTGGGTTTTTTTAGCGGACCCAGTCTTCAAATCCTGGGTGTGGAGAGTCCTCATCCAACACCCTTTTAGTTCAGGCGCCACTGTAGAGTCATTAGGACTTTTTTGGAAGCAGGCAAGACGACAAATTAGCAACGCCTTCGCCAGGAATCGAGCCACGGACCTCTGGAATACCAGCCCAGCGTGCAGAACCACTACACCACGAAGGCACGCTAGGAAGGCGGAAGAAACACCTTATACACTAGCAACAATTTCTAAAAACATTTTTAACAAATCATTGAATGACATGAATAATCTGAATTATTACTCGTAAAAGTCATACAGATCATCTGAAATTTAATCGAGGACGTGCAGTTTATATTTTGGAATATGTATTTACTTGCTTTTTCTTAGGATAATATTTATGTTTACTTATTAGTTAGTCTATTTAATTGCTTCTTTATTTATATGCGTGGGTCAGAACTTTAAAATAATTTCTTCTGAATCGATTTTCTTCACATACAAACATATGTACTTGCGATAGCATAATACTGATAAAATTTATATTGATAAGAATAATTATATTTTTTGATTTAAATACCCGTTATTTTTAGATATTTTTACAAGTTAAATTCTGACTTTTTTTTTAATTGAATGTTAATGTCATTACATATATTTTTTTCCTGCATATCTTTCATTAATGATTAAAATATTGGAAAATTTTTATCTTTACACCATCGTAAATATCGAAACATAAGCTCTTATATTTTTTTAATCTTTAGCTTATTTTACAGAATTTAGGCCATTTTTCTAGAACCGATTTTTTTAATCACTTGTGAGTTTTCTAAAAATAACGGGTATTTAAATCAAAAAATTTATATGTTTTTATTGTTAGGCCTAAGATTTTACATAACTATGAGATCTCATTTTAAAATCAAAGAAAAAGTTAAACACATTCAGTGCAATCTTCTTCAAATGGATTTCCTAAAAGAAAGTGACGTCACGCACGTAGTTACTGTGTTAATTAGAAGAATTAACTTTCCTAAATTCGAAATCAGTACTTTTTATTGTTTTTCACTCCTATGAGCAAAATAATATATATATGTATTACACGATTTTAATCAAACGTATTAAAATGTATTTTTGATCGATCAAAATATTTATGAGCATATATGAATAAAAATATAATCGCTGGTCGTTTATATTAGAATTCTGTTGTTTTTAAAGTTTCTGAAAATTTAAAAATGATAGGGAAAATGATAGGATAAAATTTATATTGATAAGAATAATTATGTTCAATTTCCTTTAAAAAATTATATAAACCATTGTTATAGTTTGTTACTTCAAAATAGGAACTTCGAAGTTATTTACTTTGTCTAATTACATTCGTAACTATAGAAACAACAGCTGCGGTAAAAAACAGGCAACCCGCATTAATTTAGCCTTCTTCTCCCCCCCCCCCAGTTTAGCGTGTTTCGCTTCATGAACAGGATACGAATGAAGGGTGACTAGTCTCAGATGACGTGAAGAAAATAAATGCTCTTGCTGTGATGACAACGCGGGTTACAACTGTAAATGTAAGAGAGACCTGAAAAGGCACTGAAATGCTTATTTTAAAGTAACATACTATAATCTAGGTTTCTGTATTTGTTACTTGGTTGATTTTGTTTGCTTAGGTCAAATAATCGAATTAATATCTGACTCCTCTTGCCTCTAAGGTTTTCTTGAAATTTTTGTCATTCATATATATATATTGCTCCAACAGGGTAATATTTGGTAGAAGTTTTAAGTTTGATCTTACACCATCGTGTAGATCAAAACCTAATTTCATAAGTAAAAATCCGAAATCTGTAAAAGGTTTTTTTTTTTTTTTTTTTTTTTTTTTTTTTTTTTTTTTTTGAATTATTTTAACTATTATTTTCTAACGGTGATGGATTTTTAAATTTAAAAAATGTAATCTCCATTGGTAGCAGCCTCACAATTTAAATAAATTGAACGAAAATTTATACTATCGGTTAGACTGGAAAACCCTAAAAATGACGCCACACGTACTTCAATGCAATGCTGATAAGAAGGAACACATTTCTTTAATCAGAGGCAGTGATTTTATTTCTTTATTATTTCTCCGCATTCTGTAGTTTATAAAATATAAAAATAAATATAATATTAAAGATTTAATTAAAATTCACTAAAAAATTAAGTTTTTTGAGTATCATTATATTCTAAAATTAAAGTAACGGGGCTCACAAATGAATTTGTAGGGTTTATATTTATTTTAACTAACATTTATTTTAAGCTATCTTTCCTGTCAAGCCTTTACTTTCCCCTAGAATTGCCAATGCCAGAGTATGTAAATTGTAGTAGAACGCGCAGTCTATTCAAATTTTAGCAGAAGTAAATTGAGTTTAAATAGAAGGGAAACGAGATGGTATGTGTGCTTCTTGAATCGCGAGCGTAAAGGTTGCTAGGTAGAAATTTAAGAACCGCGCGTTTCGGCCTGTGTGCCTATTTCGGCAGTTCGTTGAATCTTCAACTGCTTAAGCAGTAAGCTTGCTGAATTTCAGCTGTATCTTAGAACGCGGTTAAGTTAGTTACGATTTTAGAGCCTCGTAGGTAGTGATCTCGTTATTTATTCATCCTGTCATTTATTTTTAGTTTCACATTTCTGTTTTGTTAAACCGCCGGGTCGACGTAGTTTGTGAGCGTCAAGTGAACGCATCTGTTATTTCTAAAGTGGAATAAAAAGGGATTTAAACCCTTCTTACGAGTTTGTGTAATTTACAGTTCATAGCAGTCACTACCACTGTTGCTGACAAGTTGGGGCCTCGCAACACTATAAGGTTTACATATCATTATTAGAATCTGAGAGAACGGTAAAAAGAACAGTATAAAAATAACATACGTAAGAATAATTATATTCGATTTACTTAAATTTCGCTATGACAGTTTTACTTTAATCCGCCATTTATTAGCAACGTCATTATTTTAATTTCACTCTCATATAAAATAATTAGAAAAAAATATTATGATAGATCAAAAATTAATTTCTTACTTCTTAGTGAACTGAACTAAAACTTTGTAATATAAGAAGCTTTTTACACAGTTTATTCGTGATATATGATCGAAATAATGTAAAATTAAAAACATCTGACGTGGCCAGCACATAATTTCCAATTAATTACATATTTTAAACATAAATGAGTTTTAAGTACTTAAAATGAAATAAATGAATAAATGAAAGTATCACTTCCGGTTGATTGTATGTGTAAGTAAAATCTAATTTGTTATTCCCATAAACAGAAAGATGTATATTACGAAATTTTGGATTATATTTTATTGGATATAACTGGCCATATATAAAAATGGTTTTTCTTAATTTAAAACAATGTAATAGAATGTTTTTCCCTTTACATTTTTATTAAAAATTAAATTTTATTGTTCATTTGAATCAAAGTATAATTTAATTGATTTAATTAAAGAAAAATAAGTGTTTAAAATATATTTAAAATTAATTCTTTGAAAATTTCTTCTATGTTATTTCTATAGTATTGTTGCGTGCGTACGGGTTCGTAATAGATTGAATACACAAGTCCGATAAAATATTAATAAAATTTATTTTTATCAAAAGAAATACAGCAAAACGTTGAAATTTTCCTCAGAGATATTGGTACAAGTGTTCGTAGTATTAGGCAGTAAT